AAAAAAAAAAAAAATGTACGACACATATTTTGGATTTTCTCCCCTTTTTGCTGTTGCACGTTTCTTGGATGCGTTGTGTTTTCGACCAGCATTCCTTTGTAGCCGAAGAGGCTACTGTAATAACGCGGTCGCTCGACGCCAAGACGCAGTCGTGCGCAGCGCGCGTAGTAGCTGCGCAAGCAATACGCGGTTTCTGTATTGATCTGCTTGCTCTCTGTCACACTCCGACCCACATTCTCCTGCCGAATATACCCGTCGATCGCCCACCCAAAATATGCCATAAACTGTCATAAATACTGCAAACCACTGTCTGAGCTCCGTGTCCAAACATAGCAGTTATATAAGTAAGCTCAGTGACTGTAAAAATTGTACACATTCTATAAACGACGGTTTGTACGGTTAATTTGAAATTGTTACCGTAGGTAAATTCTAATTAATTTTATAGCCTCAGTAATATGTGGTTACTGATTACAGTGCATGTACGGTTTAAGGCTTGGGTATTGTTCGGTTAGTTATTGGAATTGTCGGTTCGAATCCCACTGAAGCCATGGACGTTCTGGCCTGTGCAGGTACAAGCCTTGCGGCGGACTGATCACTGGTCTAAGCAGTCGTACCGACTGTCGAGAAAAATGTTTCGAAACCTCCTATAAAGAGGCGACCTAGGTTAGAGGTCTGCGCGCGCTGAAATTTCTAAACTTCACCCGGCCCAAACTAACTAACTAACTAGATGGCTTACCGAACCCGAAGGTTCATCACCGAATTAACCAAAGCCCTCCACCGGACCCTGTCCTGGGCCAACAAAATCCAGTTTCCTTCAACTCCTATCTCCCATAGATCCCGCCTGAGATTATCCTCCCATCTACGTCTATCACCCGGCCCAAAACCGAAGTTTATCTTCAAAAATTTTACCCGTACCCGACATAAGCCCGACTTCCTTTCATTCCAGTACGATCTTTGTAAAATCTACGCTGACTATAGTGTCAACAGTACATATTTATTTAAATGCATAAATGTCGATAATCTTGAATAAATTGTTTAATGACGCTGTAAGAGTATCCGGGGTTTCCAGGAATCTTCCACGTGCGGTTTCATAACTTGCTGGGACTTTGCAAACGCGTGTGGCGTTATGACTTCTTCATGTAATGACTCTCGTGAGCATAAAATGAGCGCTGCTACGAATATATTTTCCCTTACAAAAAATAATGGCTCGAGAAAGCTCGATATGTCGAGATTACTGTCATTTGAACCAGAACACTATTTGTGTTACCTGTGCTGACCTCTAGCCTAGGTTCTTCTTCTTCTTTATTACGCCGTCTCCTTTACAGAAGGTTGGTGACATATTATGAACAGGATCCTTCCATCCTCTTCTCGGACTGGGACCTGTTCATATACGTTCTTAGCAGATGATACAGAAGTGGTTTGCCATTGCCTTCTTCTGTGTGTATGGAGTAATTGTTGGGATACCACGGAGAAACCGGGGAAGCCCCGGAGGAAAACTCCGTGTTGCCTAGACCAGTGGTATTCAACCTCTTTTCTTCGCGTACCCCCAGATATAATTTCTCTTCAACTTTGTACCCCCAAAGTTGTTGGTGTATAATTCAAATTATACATAGTATATAATCTACATCTAAAATAAATGAAATAAATTACATTACTGATTATTCAGTGTTTATCATAAAATAATATTTTTTTTAAAATTTCACGTATCCCCTAAGATGTTTCCGCGTACCCCAGGTTCTACCCCCAAAGTTGTTGGTGTATAATTCAAGTTATACATAGTATATAACCTACATCTAAAATAAATGAAATAAATTACATTACTGATTATTCAGTGTTTATCATAAAATAATATTTTTTTTAAAATTTCACGTATCCCCTAAGATGTTTCCGCGTACCCCAGGTTCTACCCCCAAAGTTGTTGGTGTATAATTCAAGTTATACATAGTATATAACCTACATCTAAAATAAATGAAATAAATTACATTACTGATTATTCAGTGTTTATCATAAAATAATATATATATATTTTTAAATTTCATGTACCCCGTAAGATGTCCTCGCGTACCCCCGGGGGTACGCGTACCCCCGGAGGAAAACTCCGTGTTGCCTATACCACGGCCTTGCCCAACACAAGTTATAAATTCGGGCACCGCCGGTAATCGAACCCGGGACCCCAGGATTATAAGGCCAGCGTTAGGTTCTTCTAGAAGAAAGAAATTAAGACCTTTGCTACTTGGAAACAAAAGAAAGTAATCATAATGTTGTAATAATGCGTCTTTCTTCTGTTTTATGGAGCAATGGGTGTAAACTGAGAAGAGTCAATAGGTCTACATGCGTTCGCTTTAAATATTGTGACCGTTCTAGATGTGCTTATATTACGTTGCATTGTTTCCTGCTAACAGATTTGGGATGAACCTGTGATGTTGACGGGGAAACAGGTGTGGTTTGAGGGAATCAGAAGTCACTGGAAATGATTCCTCTCTTATTTCAATAATCCGTATGTCACACATAAATGTTAACAATAAAACAACAAAAGCTGTCAGGACCGTGTCGTGTGTATCAATTGATCCCTCTTTTGATTGGCTCTACGTGCTCCTATTACGTTTAAAATTAAAAATTGTACTCTTATTTGTAATTTGCTATTATTTCGTTATCCCATACAATTGCATTCAATAAATATTTGCATTTGCCGATTGTGATGTATTGCTCGAACCTTTGCCTGGAGGTACTGAGAAAAAACTAATGTTACGTCACACACGAGAGCCGGCATCATCAAGGACTACAGCTGTTGATAAATTAAGCTTGTGTGTGCTATGGACCTACTAATGTGTTGTTTTTCTTTCTATTTCATGCATTACCCGACAGTGGGAGTACGGTGTAAGTACATTTAAAGTGGATGTGTGTTTTAATGTCGCATGATTTTCACAAGTTTTTGACTTTATTGCCCAAGAAATGGGAGTTCAAACTCTGTCAAATGCATGTTTTTGTACGTCTCATTGTGCCTTTTTTCGCAGTTTGTCATATTATGATTAATAAATAATGTGAACTGCGTTGGGGAATTGCCAACTTGCCCTTCTGGTCTCTTAAATTAAAAATACTTTGATGATTGAAGTTGTCTGACTGTTTACACAGGATGTCCTGTGACTTTATTTAAATACTACAGAATCAAATTCCTGACGTTATTTCGAGTCAGAAATAACATATGAACATAGGTCCGATTTTCAGCGTTTACAGAGCTACAGATATTTGAAATTCAAGGTGATTTGATGATGTAGTTACTCCCTTATGTTTATTTTGCGTTCGTACACCACAATTTTCATGGCCATCTAAGGGAGTTAGGTCCGGTGACCTCAGTGGCCGAGTCTGCACACCACTACGACCAATCCATCGGACAGGGAACTTCTCGTTCATATACTCTGTCACGTGTCGACTTAAATTTGGGGTACCATGTCACACAGGAAGTTCCATCTGTAATCGTGTAAGACGCTCGAATGACTGGTGTTCTACGCAAGATTTAAATCATATTGAATTTCAACTGTTTGGAAGTCCGTAACAGTTCAGGATCGGACCTATCTTTGTTTAAATTTCGTTGCATGTTGCTTAATTACAAGTATTTAGCCAATTGTTACAGACTGACCACGTACACGGCTGATCTCATGTCTGACAAATCAAATATTTGGGAAAACACTTCCATGTCTCATTTTAATGAGTATTCATGTACGTGTTAATACTTTTGTAATTTTGCTTACTGCGATGCTGTAACAGTCTTTCCATCTGATCCCATTTCAAATTAAAATGTTAAGTATGAATAAGAAGAAACAATTTTGGATGAAAGTATACAAGTCTGCGAAGCATTATCATTTTTGACCACAAGAGGGCAGCATCATCTTGTTGAATGGGGGGGGGGAATATATTTGTATTCATCTGCAACTTTTAATCGAAGTCAGGTAATAATTGCAGAAAAGTTAAGGGGGCGATTTAATTTAATTATAAAGATTGAGATCGAATGACATAAAAGCAGCATGCTTAACGAAGTCTCGTTGCAATGGCTGGTTTTGTACGTTAATTTGTCTGATTACTGATGGAAAGAAGGAAAAAATTTTACCACATTTTATACTAGTTTAGAAGATGTCGGATAATAGACTCGGGAGCTAGAGCGGTGTTTTGACAAATTTTGTGCTGCTAGTCATTATAAAATATCATATTAACTGTTATAGATTTTAGTTCTAAAACCTACGACTTTAGTTTGACTAACTCCATGGAACGCAGTTGTTTTTGGGAAACTAGTAATTGTTTAGATGGCCTAGAAATTATTATCCTTTAATCTTTTTATGGAACTAGAACGTTCAGTACAGTTTATTTCACAAGAGCTTGCCACTGGACCGTGTCCTGAGCCAGTTTAATCCAGTCTGTAACTTCATCCCTCTGTTCCTTTAAGATCCTTTATGATATTATCCTCCCATGTGTTGCTCCGTCTTCCAGATCGGTCTTTATTTCAGTTCTTCTGATTAAAATTTTGTACGCATTTCTCACCTTTCCTATATATGCTGTGCTACATCACATGATTATCTCATCCTTATTGATTTGATGACGACATTAATATTTGTCGGAGAGGGCAAATTATTTTCCTACATGCCTGCTATTCGGCTTAACTGTATTATTTTTAGAAGTTTTCAGTCGCCAAGCGTCGTCTTATTTTGTAGATGTCGTCTGGGCTTTCTCATGAATAACGCATGGATGCTGAAATGTTACATGAGAATGGCTTTGCATTTCCAGAGGGTCACGTAAAAGTTCCTGCGCCATATCTGTTTCTAATGACAGCAAGTACATTAATTTTTCAGACAAGTTTCTGTGGATCACGTTTCGTTCTAATTAGGATGTGCAGCTTTGCGGTTTTCATTGTTAAAGTAATGAGATAACTGATGCTCGTGGCAGTTCTGTATCACGGGGAATTGACATCGTGAAGCTTTGCCACAGAGATTGAGGAAGTTCTGGTTTAATAATCACATTGATGTAATTTAAGTTAATTTCAAATGTTGGTGTTCTTGATACAGTCCTGATATTTTATGGTGGCTTCTGGTCTGCGCAAGAGAAGGGGAAATATGAAAATTGTGTGGGAAAGAAAGATTGTGACTCGTGGAAAAAGGGTACGTTAGGTACATTTAATAATCCTTTGAAGCAGACGCTCGTGTAAATAATATTTAAACATTCAGTTCCTACCGCAAAGAAAACAACGCGTCACCATTACAAAGATAAATTAGTTAATGTTGTTTGAGGAAATAATCTTAGTTTTTCTGAGAATCGTAAGAAATATGCTCTATGGGCAAAATTCTTAATTGCTTATTAATGTACGTGGTACATATAGTTACCACTGTGTTTTAAAGGGTTAATAAGGCAAGATTTATGGGTAACTGCACACGACAGTTAAGTGCTTTAAAAGAAAATGTCACCACGTCCTATATTCTTTTGTTTGTCGGACTGCTGGATAGTAGTCAGTATACATCCGTAAGGTCCTGATGTTACGTCACAGGTTTTAAGCAAATTTTGAGATGGCTCCCAAGTTCAATGTTGCTGCTGCGTGTTTCTCATGCAGCCCTCCCGATTTAAATTAATTACAATTTACACCCTTACTGTGGAGGTCACTGAATTGGTTGCATAATTTTCCAAATTATGATTTCAAAATCCGTCAGTAACCAAATCAAAATTTTTGCCATCTCGCTTGTCACTATGGGACAGGGGCAGTTTCTGCCCTTTAATCTCTAGTTTCTACCGCAAATTGTTTATGAAAAGACGAGAATGAGCGTCTGGTATTTAGCCATTGTTATATTAATTAACTGAGTGGTGTTTAGTCCTCTGTCCAATCCTCTTTATTTTAAAACAACTTTTAATACTATTCGCCGTTTGTGTGGTTCATTCTAGAATGTGGCTTGCGAATTCTCTGGACTGACTAGTAGTGCCACCAGACGAAACTGGAGGAATATAAAAAAAAGTTTTACTGTTTAATTAAACAGCGGAATGATGATGGTTATTATAATTGGCATAATAATATAGCTTTGTGTTTAGGTGCAATTGTTTAGGGGAGGGGGGTTGTAATAATATTACATTTATACACTACCTAACTCGTAGATTAGAATTTGCCACTGAATGTGATGGATTAAGTCTTGTACGTTTTAATACCACTCACATGTTTCGTATTTTATTAACTTATGAGCAGTTAATAGTGAAGCACTGTGAATAAAAGCACTTCTAATCTGTCAGGGTCACTCCTCCCTCCCTTGGAATGACGGAATGACTACAGGTGTGGCGTGAAGGAACTGAATAAAACCACGAGTACTTTAAGATAACGGATCTCGGGGCCGATATTCGAACCTCCCCAGTAAGGATAGGCATAATAACTACCAGACCGAGACGTTCGGCTTTATTTATTTGATCTGTAAACTGAAGGGACCTTGGCCTGATATCTCATGTTCCCCTTTATCTTACGGCCCCACCCCGTGTTCATCAAATCTCGTCGTTGGAACCTTTCGTAAGCCACTTCACACGGGTTCATTTTAATATTATCCTCACTTCCACTCCTGTACCTCCAAGTGGTCTCTTCTCTTCACTGTTTCCTCACTTAGAATTCTACATGCAGTTCCCATTACCCCTATGCATGCTACGTGCCCAGAAACTGCAGTGCCTTTGTGTGGTATTTACCGGTTGCTTTGCGCTTGTTTGCAGACACGGACAACCAGAGGGTCATCATACACGTCAAGGATGTGAACGACGAACCGCCATACTTTATCAACCGGCCGCTGCCAATGCAGGCCGTTGTACAGCTGAACGCACCCCCGAACACCCCTGTGTTCACCCTGCAAGCTCGCGACCCTGACACGGACCACAACATACACTATTTCATCGTGAGAGACCGCAGTAAGTGTGGACTGTCTGAAGATGTCTGTCTCCTGCGATAGTTTCGTAAAAGTTCACCGACGTTTTAGAGGTGCCTACTGCTTTCATCATCAGGGCGGTACGTACCTCTGTAACCTCGGTAAACGTCTACCAGAATACAGTCATCTTCGTCAAGTTTTGTCGGTGAGAACAAAAAGGCAAAATTAAACAACTAATTTTTAATTTGTCAAGCCAGTCCTGATATTTCTGGACAGAATTTTATTAGAGGAAGTTGTAGTGATGAACCGATTTTTTTGTTATGGTAAAATAAACCTAACTTGTAAACTTGTGTAACGAAATGTAGTTTTCACATCCCCCCACGTCGCCTCCTTCCACGAAATAAAATCTGTTTACGCTGTTCGTACGAACGATGCTTTGAACCAACAGTCTTTTAGATTCTTTCAGGAAATGTCCCACGCCACTGGAATAGTTATTATGACAAAGAACCATGTTAAACATAAGGTAATCCGAGGAGTGGAATTTTAACCCCATAAAATAGTTATGAAGTGAACCATCTTGTAGATTCTCGGTGAAGTTGAGAGAGAAGTCTTCCCCAGCTCGTAAGGTCACGCTTAGACACTCCGCAAAGCAATTACCTACTTTACCTTGCTACCCAATTAACTTTTAGCAAACTTGAATGTTCCACGCGCTGTGGCCATGTTAACAGAAACTGGTACGTCTAGAGCTGTAATGGAATTAATTGAAAGTCGAGCCGTACTCAAGCGCGTCATAGTTGTATCTGGCAGTACTTGAGTAAACCCACGGAGCAGAGCACTTGAGAAGGAAACGGAGATTCCTAGCTTCTTTCTGAAACTGGAAGATTCATTATCGTGTTTACAAGGGTTGAGTCAGGCTGAGCCCGAAGTTTATCTTCAAGTATGTTACCCGCATACTACCTGAGCCCGACTTCTGTTCAGTCCAGGCCGAATGAAACCCGGTCTATTTACAGACTGCCCCGACATTAGTACATGTTTCGTTTAGTGTCTAAATGCCAGTGATTCTTCAATGATTTTTTTAACTACGCTATAAAACGTCTCGGATTAATATGGCGTTTGAGGTACGGTACAACGAAATTGGATGACAAGATTGTAAGGTGTTATATCGAACTATTTCTGGTAGAGAAAGCTACGAGAATCCCCGAGAAAATCAAGTCGAAGGGATTTGTTACAGTGTCACGAGACCAAGATGAGCGCAGCTGCGAATAACTTTTTCTTTGCGAAAAGAATTCGTCCCGGAATAAACCCCCCAAAATGTTCTTTTAAGTTGGGTTCCTATCATGTGAACCTGAACCAAACGTTGTCTATGCTATAGTCGGCGCAGTAGTTTTTGGCCGGTGGAATTTTCAAGGGTAAGGCTAGGAGCGAGTCTCTTGTGCGATCGTATAATGCTGACTGCATCGAGGAACTAATCGGACTGAACGCCCAAACAAAAGAAATGCACTGACCGTGCCACCTCAGGTGCACAGAGTAGGCCCGTCCGTCAGCTGCGCTAGCTTCTCCACAGGCCAAAAACTAATGCGCCGACTATACCTCAGGTCTGACATAAATATTACTTGTTCGCAGCGGGAGGTCGGTTTGAGGTGGACGAGAGATCGGGTGTCGTGCGTACACGTGGCACGGACCCCTTCCAGTTGGACATGGAATACGTTCTTTACGTGAAAGCTGAAGATCAGAACGGTCGAGTTGACGAGCGGCGATTCCAGTCGACTCCCGAGGAGCGACTATCGATTGTGGGCGGGAAGAGGGCGCCACAGTTCTACATGCCGTCTTATGAAGCCGAGATTCCTGAAAACCAGAAGAAGGACTCTGAGTAAGATTTCGCTGCTTTTCTCTAAACATCTGTACAAATTTAAACCTGATGAAATGTCAAATAATGTTAATGTTATTTCTCTGTTTTACACAGGCAGTTACGAATGACCAACGGACTTGGGCCGAACTGGTTGTATTACATGGATATATATTATACTTGTAAATTATCAAAAGAATATATGTATATTATAAATGAATTCTCAAACTGGACGGATATTAGGGGAGAATGGGTAAATGGCGGTCACATAAGAGAAAAGCTAGATAAAACGAAAAGTATACGCAAAGTTCAAACTTTATATAAATTGACATTTAGACTGAAGGGTCTACTTCTCTAGTATGCAGTATAAAATACGTTGAACGCAACAAAAATTCACTAGGAAATGATAACTGAAGAAGAGGTTTTGACCGGTATTCCCCACCCTTAGGGGTAATGACGGTCACTGTTTGAGCTTCAAGATGTTACGGAAGTAAATAAGATAATGAGTGAATAAAATGTGTTTCTTAGTAAGTAATAGGCATGTATCTTAGCTTACAAAATGTGTGCACGTCTAAATCACATGAACGTACAAATTCTAACAGATAGAAGTCTTCAATAACCTTAAGTGTGTTAGATCACTAGAGCACGAAACAGTCGCATGCAACTATCCCGGTAACTGCACCAGAAGCCAATGGCGGAATTCGCTGTTGCACTTCACTGAATAAAACACTAGATGTCAGCACCAGCTTGAAGCATTTATCGATACCGTTCGTCATAAAAGTGCCTCCCCTATTGTTTAAAATAAATATTCTGTGCTTTTATGGATGTTTTTGGGACAACTCCATTTGAAGAAATGATGTTTCGTGTATCAATACGTTGTGGTGCAAATCACGACAATTTCATAAACAGTATTATGTTTGACTTTAGTAAGCAGGTCACATAATTTTCAATTAGCAATAATTAATTTGATTAAGGGGAACTAAATGCATGCAGCAGAGACTTTCTTGAGAAAATTATAGTTGTTTAACGTATGAGTATGTTCTGAAAGTAAAGTGCACAAGGCCACTGTGACATGACGTTTGTTACTGCAGAGATACCAACCCCTTGCACACTTGCCAACATTGTAGCATTATCTTTCTAGTAATAACCACACCTGTTGTAGCATTTATTCAAGTTGGAAACCAGTCCACTGAAGTCCGTTGTAGGAACGAAAATAATCCTCACGAAGCATGTTTAGGCCACTGGACTGTATCTTGAGCTAGCTGCATCCTTCCACCTACGACGAGGTCTTCCCACCCGTCTCCTCCCTTCGGGGCCCCCCTTGTAAACACCCCCTCTCCTCCCCCTTCCCCTCCGCCAACATGCGTGCCGCATGTCCCGCCCACCTCATCCTCCTCTTCGACGTAATTACGGTAACAATACAGTACAAGCCGATCTTGATCGTCTTCCTCAACACTTTTTTCTCGAAGACCCTCGAAGTGAGAGACCAAGTTTCGCACCCATACAGCACAACGGGCAAAATTACACTTCTGTATATTTTAATATATTAGTTCTTTTTGTTAGACCCGTAGACAAAAGATTTTGGACTGAATGAAAGCAAGCATTCCCTGCATTTAATAAGTATTCGTAACCCCTTACCAGTTTCTACTAAAATGCTTCTACTAATGAACATTTACCGCGTACTATGCCTGTTACAACCTTATTTTTGGAACAACCTTTTTACAATTATTACATACTAATATCGGGGATAACAAATTGCAAACTGAAATATATATTTATTATTCAAGTCTATACACAAACTTTTAAATTGTTGATGTTAAAATCTAAAATTAATATTGATATTCTGCGCCATTCATCGTTATCTCGATGTTACAATATTGCGCTTTATACTACTACATGTTTCAATGTCATAGCATCATCTTCAGGTTTTTTATCGGCGGGAAATGGATATTTTATACAGAAATTTACGAATCAGTTTCAGTGTATGTTTTCTCTCAATCCTTGAAAACGTAATTTTCTTATTTGCCATTACAATTGGCGCAGAAAGGGTCAAATGCTTAATATTGGACTAATTTTCATTAATTATGTTTTCAGCATAATATCAGTGAAGGCGAAGTCGTTTGCGGATCGTGAAATAAGATACACCCTGAAGGCTCAAGGTCAGGGTGCAGGCACTTTCAACATTGGCCCCACATCAGGCATAGTGAAGCTTGCGAAGGAGCTCGACTTTGAAGATCTGAGACAACCTCATGTATACTCGCTCATTGTAACAGCAACTGAGGACTCTGGGGGCTTCTCTACTTCAGTTGAGGTGGGGTGATTTTATTGTTCATTCCCACCCTTTTTGAGTTGAAGCTGTTGTATTACAAGTTAGTGGATGAGTACTGAATAACTTGATCTCTGCGTATTAAGCGCCTTTCTAATAACTAATGAGGTTAGCGTTTGGTATGTAGAGGTTATGTTCATACCTGTTTGTTTTCAAGATGGCTGTCCTCTGGGTTGTTGTGTCGTGTAGTTTGGTAGAAGTTTTTCGATGTTTCAGAGGTCTTTTCTGCCTCCATCATCAGTTGGCTGTCATAGGGCTGTTACGCCACGCATTATTATTATCATCCCATCAATTCACCACTTTACGGGGTATGTACTTCCGTGTACCCGAGACAGACCTTGTGCCTAAGGTACATAGTGCAGCAGCTATTTCCGGGATACATATTGTTTTTAGCAAGTGCTACATGTATTATATAACTTTATTTTATGAAAGCGTCTTTCGAATGATGTACGAAGATCCCAAAATGGCGGTCTTCTGCAGTTCCCTGATGTCTTGTTCGCCCGGGATGTTGGCCAAATATTTTCTGAGTGACCTGGAGAAAGTTCCTGTTGCTCCTATAATTATTGGGATTTTATTATTATTATTATCATCATCATCATCATCATCATCATCAGAATGATGAGGCAGCAAGGACCTCTGAAACATCGGCAAACTTCTAGCAGACTACCACGAAGACAGCCATCTTCAGACTCACTGCCATAAAAACACCAAATCCTACCTGTTTTTTGTTTTTAAAAAGCAGATCCTTGCCAACAGTTTGGAAGTAACGGTTGTGCTTTATGAATATTATAAGATAGAAGTGAGTAAATTGTGTAAATTGCCCCAGCATTCTTTATTTTGTGCATTTTATTTTCAGCTCACTATCCGTGTGACGGATGTCAATGATAACGCTCCAAAATTTGAGTTACCAGATTACCAAGCGCACAATGTGGACGAGGACATTCCGCTTGGAACATCCATCCTAAAGGTCAAGGCTACAGATGCAGATTCTGGCTCAAATGCCGAAATCGAGTATCTGGTGTCAGACGATCATTTCAGCGTGGACTCGAGTGGAATCATAACCAACACGAAGCAACTTGATGCAGATAATAACAATGCATATTATGAGTTTGTTGTTACAGCAAAGGATAAAGGTTTGTTTTGTCTTGTAATTACATTGTTTTTTTTTTCTTCAGAAATCAAAACTGATGGTTTCTCAGGATGTTCCAATTACAGAGAAACAAGAAATTTCATGTTTAGTGCTGCAATAAGCAACGTGGTTAACGCAGATATTACATGTTTTTGTATTATTTCTTCACGTTTTCTAAAGAAAATGGTGGGTGATGGAAGATTTTTGGCACTATTTTTGTAAACTGCCATTTAAACTGCAATGAAACAACCCAGCTTTCCACTAAGGATAAAATCAGTGTCGCGTAATACAATTGCTAGTCGTCATAATAGCTCTAATTGTATGCGTTGTAATTTCTGCGTGCGTGTACACAAACACGTGAATTAGGTTATCATATGCTGCAGACTCTAATAAAGAATTTTTCTGATCCAGGAGAGCCTTCAAAAACCGGCACAGCTACTGTTCGCATCTACACAAAGAATAAAAATGATGAAGAACCAAAGTTCTCGCAGCAAGTGTATACTCCAAATGTGGATGAAAATGCTGGTCCCAATACTTTAGTTACAACAGTTGTTGCTTCTGATAAAGATGGAGACAATGTCAGGTTTGGATTTGTTGGTGGGGGTACGTCCTCTGGCCAGTTCGTCATCGAGGAAATCACCGGAGTGATTCGGCTACATGGGAAGGCAATATCTCTGGATCGAGACAAGTATGAACTGAATGTAACAGCTATGGATGATGGGGCATGCTGTGTGAATGGCGATGCCACAATTCACACGAGCACGGCCGTCGTCGTCGTTTTTATCACGGATGTGAACGACAACAAGCCGATGTTCAAAGACTGTGGGACGTACTATCCTAAAGTGGAGGAAGGTGCTCCCAATGGCAGTCCAGTCATAAAGGTATGCGTGCTGCGTAAACTGTGTACACCTCGCAGACTGTAGGTGACAGGTGTTTATAAAAGTAACATTTATTCCTTTGAGGTTATGGTGGAACCTTACATAATATTTTCTCATTCTTGGTTCTCCAAAATGTTTCCTTCTTTTGGGATTATATTTTGTAATGATATTTGTCAGCTTTCAGTCATTTATTCATTCTAGTTATCTGCTTGTGCTTTTTTTGAAATGTACATGAATTTATCTTTGTTTGTTCCTTAGGGATAAAGTAACCAAGGCATAAATCTAACCACATTTGTTTTGTCAAAAGTGATCACCTTTACTTATTATTATATTTAATTATTTATATTTAATAAATAGAGGTCATAAACGTTTATAAGACCATAATTCAAGGAATTTAACATAAACCTTAATATCCTCATTGGCTGTATTAATTTATATCATTATTGAAATAAGGATGTTTGTCCGCGTCTTTCTGTAAGAAATTTCATGTTTAGTGCTGCAATAAGCAACGTGGTTAACGCAGATATTACATGTTTTTGTATTATTTCTTCACGTTTTCTAAAGAAAATGGTGGGTGATGGAAGATTTTTGGCACTATTTTTGTAAACTGCCATTTAAACTGCAATGAAACAACCCAGCTTTCCACTAAGGATAAAATCAGTGTCGCGTAATACAATTGCTAGTCGTCATAATAGCTCTAATTGTATGCGTTGTAATTTCTGCGTGCGTGTACACAAACACGTGAATTAGGTTATCATATGCTGCAGACTCTAATAAAGAATTTTTCTGATCCAGGAGAGCCTTCAAAAACCGGCACAGCTACTGTTCGCATCTACACAAAGAATAAAAATGATGAAGAACCAAAGTTCTCGCAGCAAGTGTATACTCCAAATGTGGATGAAAATGCTGGTCCCAATACTTTAGTTACAACAGTTGTTGCTTCTGATAAAGATGGAGACAATGTCAGGTTTGGATTTGTTGGTGGGGGTACGTCCTCTGGCCAGTTCGTCATCGAGGAAATCACCGGAGTGATTCGGCTACATGGGAAGGCAATATCTCTGGATCGAGACAAGTATGAACTGAATGTAACAGCTATGGATGATGGGGCATGCTGTGTGAATGGCGATGCCACAATTCACACGAGCACGGCCGTCGTCGTCGTTTTTATCACGGATGTGAACGACAACAAGCCGATGTTCAAAGACTGTGGGACGTACTATCCTAAAGTGGAGGAAGGTGCTCCCAATGGCAGTCCAGTCATAAAGGTATGCGTGCTGCGTAAACTGTGTACACCTCGCAGACTGTAGGTGACAGGTGTTTATAAAAGTAACATTTATTCCTTTGAGGTTATGGTGGAACCTTACATAATATTTTCTCATTCTTGGTTCTCCAAAATGTTTCCTTCTTTTGGGATTATATTTTGTAATGATATTTGTCAGCTTTCAGTCATTTATTCATTCTAGTTATCTGCTTGTGCTTTTTTTGAAATGTACATGAATTTATCTTTGTTTGTTCCTTAGGGATAAAGTAACCAAGGCATAAATCTAACCACATTTGTTTTGTCAAAAGTGATCACCTTTACTTATTATTATATTTAATTATTTATATTTAATAAATAGAGGTCATAAACGTTTATAAGACCATAATTCAAGGAATTTAACATAAACCTTAATATCCTCATTGGCTGTATTAATTTATATCATTATTGAAATAAGGATGTTTGTCCGCGTCTTTCTGTGTTGTGCTGTCCTGTGTACAGGTAGAGGCCTTGCGACTGGCCAATCCCTCATCCAAGGAGTCTTACCGAATGTCTATAGGTCGAGCCAACGAAAAGTTGGGACCCGCAGTGCTCAGGCACTTGAAGAACGGGTCGTTCCCAGTATCCCAGTATTGAAATATGAATATATGTGTTTTCATAATTAAATTTTAATTTTTTTAATGACAGTTTGATGTTTGCAATTGTCTGTCTTGTTTCGGCTGTCTCTTCCTTAGGTTCATGCAACTGATGAAGACAAAGGTGTGAATGGGCAGGTTAAATACTCTATAGTGCAGCAGCCAAACCAGAAGGGCACCAAATTTACTGTTGACGAAGAAACGGGAGAAGTGTCAACAAATAAAGTAAGTTTCAGACTCAATGGAATGTCTCTACTTTTGAACAAAATTGTGTGGTTTAGAAATACCCAATTTGAAAATGGGGACATGTTAATCATAGGGACAATTCTTGTATCAAATTTTTGTAATATTTGAAGTAGGAAAAATTTTAAGCATAATAATTTTAAATGAGTTTCACTGTATTCATAAAATAGTTCCAGGAAATGAGGAAATTTCTTACGAAGCGTAACGTTAAGTTTAGCGTATTGACTTTGTACTGATTTCAACTGTTATCATATTGTGCCATTAGTCCCATGATTGCTTACAATATTCTAATTTCTAATTTATGAAATGTGTCTTGTCCAGAGACCAATCTCCTTGGGCTATTTTATTGAAAATACCTTACATTAGAAAAGAATGACATAAACTTTAATTTTCTGCTTGAATCTCGCTGTGTTTACCTGTTACATTTGAAGCTTGTTAAGAATTTTTCTATTTATTTATCATTTATTGCAATTCTTATCAGGTGTTTGATCGTGAAGGAGATGATGGGAAGTTTGTATCAGTGACAGTGAAGGCAACGGATCAGGGTGAACCATCGCTGGAGGGTGTGTGTTCATTTACAGTTGAGATTACAGATGTGAATGACAATCCACCTTTGTTTGACAGACAGGTAATGTTTCAGTTATATGTCTACAGCGTATCGTGTTTCTGTAGGAAGCCGTTATTTGTGCTTAGCTAACCCTTTCACTGTTATTGAAGAAAGTACATCAGTTGGCGGGGGTATTGATGAGTATTCACTTATTTTTTTTCTACTCAGAGGTATATACTGCCTCCATCATGAGGGTGATGTGTGAATCACCCTCATGATGGAGGCAGGAAGGATTCGGAAACTGATCGGTACCTCTGACGCTAGGGACATACACAAATCACACTCCTAACGCTAGTGACAGGAGTAACCACCATCCAATTATTTGTGTTCACAGTAATAAGAACTATATATTCTAAAGAAATTAATTAAATAATGAAAAGCCACATAAACCATCCATTCCACGTAGTACCTATGAAACATCAGTCAACCTTTATCAGAGTACATGGCACGTCATCATCACAAAAACAATTCCTTGATTCCGTCATAGCATAAAATGTTACGTTATGTTTAAAATGTGATATATGCCTGCAGTGTGCTCCACGTATTGTTTCTGTTATTGATAGGTCGGTTAATATGAATTTAGTTTGACTAGTTTCAGAAGAATGAGGATTTATTGGAATGATCAATTGAAAATTCTTTGTGCACTGACAGAGTTAATTTCCCCCAAGTGGTTTTCTCTGTTTAGGTTTTGGTGACTAAAATCTTGTGTGTGTTTCTTGTCTCCATCCATGCTCGATGTCCATCTCATACTCCTTCATTTGATCACCCTAATGTCATTTTATATAATGTAACAATGTTAATAATAACAACAAGAACAATATAAAATAATGTAATATTTATAATACTAAGTACCTTTATCTTATTTTATCCAGAAATATGTAGAAAATGTGAAGCAAGATGCAAATATCGGTACCAATATTTTGCGTGTATCCGCATCTGACGAAGATGCTGACAACAACGGAGCAATTGTTTACACACTGAGCGCTCCCTACAATCCTTTGGATCTCGAATACTTTCAGGAGTCTGGCTGGATTGTGTTGCGGAAGCCGCTGGATGTAAGTGACCATCAATATGGCTGGTTTGTGCTAGCTGTCGTCTTTCTCTCACTCTTGCATACATACATGTCCTCAGAGAATATAGTGAAGTATACAAAATATCGGAATAAAATCGTGTCTGGGTGTTTGCGTGAAGGAGTGCATGTATGCAGTTAAATTACCGAGTCTGCTTTATCACTGTTTCTTTATCCATTTTCCTATAACTTGTTAAAGACAAGGGTTTGATTTTTGTGGTCGGGAAACAGATTTAATTTATTTAATGTCTGGTAAACTTCATTCAGTGTCCCGCGCCGTAGCTGCGCGGTCTGAGGCATCATGCTTCGGACCGGCGATACGGGATGCGCGCTGGTTCGAGTCTTGGAGGAGTAGAAATTTTCTCATGAGCTTCCGACCGGTGCCAACCCAGCTTCGTGAGGAAATTGGGGAGCTACAATGAGTAGCGTAATCCGGTCAGGAAAGCTAGCAATGGCTGACCACACGTCACCCTATATCTGGTTGGATGATTGTTCACCTCTGCTTAGGCATATGAACGTGAGGCCAGCAGTCAAGGTAGTCGGCTTTGGCTCTCAGAGGGCTGTTACGCCACAGATTTAATTTTAAAACCTCATTCAAGGTTTCAAAAAGTAAACCTATTTTCAAAGGAAACCCTCCTTATTCTTAGCCCAGAAATGAAACCCTTGTTGTAGTTGGGTTGCGATCACGTTGGTAGAACCCCGATGGACTTGCTGAGCACATGTAAAGGTGACGGTAATCTGATGGTACTGAATATTCTTATTTTGGTGTGTATCAACACTTTCCAATCAGCAGATTGTTCTTGCAGTTTTATGTATATCTTCAGCTTCTTGGGTTTATTACTTAAGTTGATCACACGTTACTTTACGTTGCTCTAAAGCATACATCATTTCACAGTAAATATATCTTGAATAAGTTTCATTTCTACGGCACTTACCTTGAGTACTTTTCAGTATATATACTGTATTCCGCTGTCTCAGGACGTATACGCACGGTATATCCAAATGCACATTTCAAGAGTTTTTAAAAATATGGCTTCCAGTATCAAATGCTTGGATATACTGTGAAGTATATGTTTCCTTACCATTGCATTATTTTTGTAAAATTTGGGGCTGTAACCACTATTAAAATATCTTACTGTATTTGAAGATGTATTCTTCGTAATGTAATGAAGTTTAACAGTTGAATTTTTGTGGTTTATTCCTGAGCTGTATGCTGGATTTTTAGGAATCCATTATGATGATTTTGTTCAGCTGTTTTTCAGAGAGGGTGTAGTGATTTTTGCAGATTGAAACTACAATTTTTGACATAGTATGTTTTTGTCATAATGTCTTTTTTTACCTCCCTTTTCAGGAGGAGACAATGTGATAGTGTACAATACATGTGGAATTTTGGTCAACTAAGAATATCAGAGGTGGATTTTTTAAGCCCTTTTGGTGGGTTTGCTCTGATATTACTTGGTCAGTAGAACATTTGTGACATTTTTCCTTCTGTGTATGGGGCAGCGTACCTGTCGGGAAAGTGTTCGTCATTTTTGGTCGCTGTGTTAAGACAGCTTCATCTTTTAAACCCTCCTTCAATCCCCACTGACATTTGGAAATGCATAGTTTTCCGCATGTAAATTGCCTGCTTTGATGACGTTGTTTATAATTTTTATACTCTTGTTTTATTTTTGTTAATTGCACCATTTCTGTTCTTCGGAATTGAACCACATCAAGGGATGTTTTCCAGTAAGTAGGTCACTCCATGTCTGTGTCCAAACATGGAATGGAATATTCACGCCTTGTGATTCTGTAGTGGTATAGAAGTAGTGTAGTTGAAATAATGTTAAGTTGCATTATTATTATCAACTAGCCTGTGTCAAATTTTAATAACTTCTGCCATCAGAAGTAAAGCTGTCTGATGAGATCTGATGGTTATTCTTAGTAGCTGTTGCCTGTCATTTTCTTGAACTTAGGTATCAGAGAAAAATGTCAGTTATATATCTGATGAGAGAATCATTAAATGCTTAGTTAAAATTTTATCAGATTATGTATGATTTCTTTGTCCCTTCAGTTTTCTTAAGTTAGGTCAGGATTTGTGATATTTAATTTGAGTTTGATTGTTTTAATTTGTTTGTTTATTTTTTTAATTAAACGTTGTGCTTGTTATCTCCCCATTTACCTGACGGCACATCTTTTCATGCCACTGTAGCGAGAAAGGTACCGCCTGCGTGTCCGTGCCTCAGACAGGGGCAGCCCTCCCTCCTATGCAGACGTGGACGTTGAATTAGACGTCGTAGACAGGAACAATAAGCCTCCTCTGTGGGACGTGAGTGTATACGGCCCCATTCACATCAAAGAAAATGTCACAGTTGGTACAGTAGTGACGTCTGTGAAAGCCAGGTTTGTATTGCGTCGTCGTAGCTGTAAGCTCCTCGTTGACAAGGTCGGTGCATTCCCCTGGTAACTGCGAGTGGGTTTGTTAACGTTTTAACAGGTTGAATGATGCAGGTCTGTTCAATGGGGGGGAACAAGATCGTGTTGTAGGCGCGGGAAGGTTTGGTTACCAGGCGAATCACCCAGGTCACTCTGCTGGTTGGATTCATCCACTTGCGTGCCCCCCACCCTGTCTCCCAAGTAACCATCCACCTCTCAAATAGTACATAAGGACTAACATGACTAACGGCGTGATTTTCTTCTTGTTTTTCCATTGATCATTTTTTAATATAGCGAGAAACATACAAGTTGGAGGCCATGGCTCAAGATAAAGGGTACCCTCCCTTGTCCCGATCCGTGGAAGTTCAAATTGATGTTGTGGACCGTGCAAACAATCCTCCAGTGTGGGACCACGTGGTCTACGGACCCATCTACATTAAAGAAAACATGCCGATCGGGGCAAAAGTTGTATCGGTTAAAGCCAGGTCTGTCATCCGATTCAATGTTGGTTGCTCCGTGCGGCACGCCTGACCCTTGCACGGCACTGTGGGAGTTGTATATTGCACGCTGCCTTCCCACACGTAATGCACGTCCAGACTTTATCTTGGTGTGTGGTTGTCCAACCCAGCCCCTGTTACCTTGTACTACTTGTCATGTGTTACGAGACCGTCTCGAATCAGTCGAGAAAGTCTTAGTTAGTCGCCGGATCAGTGCTTGCTCAATCAGCTGAAACCGCTAATCAGAATGGTATACCACAGGCTTGGCATGCTGAAAACTGATGTACCGCTGTGGTTCTGTCTGTTTTGGAAGCAAATGTCCAAATTAATGGCTGTTTTCATTTGATTGAGCTAAATGTGTCTATATAATAAGCCTTGACGGTGTGGGCCTTGCTAGAAGTCTTTAGTCCGCACAGCTCTACTGTATTTTCTGGTCGATAAATGATGTTTGCAGAACAAACTCGGGAAATTAAGTCTTCTAGCAAATACATACCTCAGACTGTGTGTATGTGCACTGAATGTTGTCATTCCCTGTGTCTTTCGTGATTGCACGGGTTGATGTCACTGTTGCGTTTAACAACAGTGCAGACTTTCCGTCCGTCTGACGCACCGGTCTATATAGTAATCTCGATTAGTCCGATATCTGGGTTTGTGTATTTATTGACAACTTCTTCTTCTTCATCTGTGGCTCTCCGGTCCGTATTCGGTCCATGGCCTCCTCAATTCTCCTCTTCCATTCGGTCCTCTGTTAGGTCCAATTTATCGACAACATTCAGTGTAAATTTGCAGTGATGTTTACGAAGTAAGTAAACTTTGTTTTTATAATTGGTTAATATTTTATTATACCGTTATTAATATAATATAAAATGCATTAATGAGCCATGTTTTAACATGCATAATTTATAAAGTGAAGCTTTCTTAAAGAGCATGCGAATAATTTGTGTAACGAAAGCTTTGTCATGGGAATGTCTAGGTGTGGGATTCCAGGCAATACCCATGTCTATAATGGTTTTACTCAGATGCTTCATGTCAGGCATTTACATACTTAAGGTAAAAAGTTGCAGCATCAGCGGAATTTCTCTCTTTTTGTTTTTGAATCTAATGACGATAACTTTTTGTGAGTTTTGTAGCATGATTTTTGTTGGTAGTTCTTGTAGTGATATTTTGTTGTAAAATTTGTGGATGCTGAAGAGAAAATATTTACGAAGCAAAGATGAAGTTATTTTTGAACAGTTTCAAGTTGCATGTTTGCATTTGTTAATGTGTGACGGATGGTAAAACAGTAAAAGTATCAATTTATGCCTGTGCCATAAGCATTGAGAGCAAGTTGTAAGTTAGATATATTAATTCAGAAACCCTTCAGGAAATTTTGATATGCATGTAATTGACATTTACGTTTTTGAATTTTGAACAATCGCTAGCGATTGAAAATTCCAAATGTTAGCCAAGATCGTACTCTACACGAGGAGACGTATTTATAAACTTTATATCTCGAAAAATGAGGAAAGGACTGACGGACTCAGGTAACATAACCTATAAACCTTTCTGCTGAAGTGAGATTACTTATCATATTCTTACGATATAATTTTATCATAAAAGAATTCATGTATTGCAATAGATTGAGCATGATTCTGAGTGTAAATAATAATGTTTTTCGGAATACTGTCGTGATTTGCGTACGTGTTGTCGTATCTTCACAGCTCTGGGATAGACGGCAATCCCACAGTGTTCTATCATCTTATGCCAGGGTCGACGGCACAAACGAACAAGCTTCATACATTCTATTCGCAACAGAGAGCGGATAATGGATTCACTTGGGCAGATATAAAAGTTAATCAACCGTTAGATTATGAAACTGTAAAAGAATATAATCTAACTATAAGAGTTGAGGTAAGGCTTTGTGATATTTATTTTTGATTTGAAGGGTGAAGGGATAAAACAGTATAAATTAAGGTTTAAATGCTTATTGCTGTTATTTATTAAAATTCAAACTGTTCTGCCAGATATAGAACAGTACTCATTTTATTCAGGAGAAACATTGATATAGTCTTGGTCAGACTACGAGTTGTCCTCGCCAACATTTTTTGTGGTTTCTCTCGTGGTCAGTATTGTTCATGATTTTCCACGATATTTAGTAATTTTGTGAGCAACAACTTTCCAAATTTTATTTTTATTCATTAAATGTTCACTCTGCACATTTCGATACGCCGATATGCTTTTAATCAGTTTTAGTGTCACGGACTGATTTTAAGATACTATCCTGGCATTTGACTGGAGAGACTGAGGAAAACCACAGTTGTTAGTGAGGATAGCTGGTCTCTGGGCCAAGATTTGAACCAGGGAACTCTTGAATATGAATAAGGAAACGTAATTACCGAACTGTGATGTTTGTTAATTTTTATGACGTCTACGTAGCTGAAGATTACTTTGCGATTACTTACAGAATAATGGATTACAGCAGCTGGCCTCAGAAGCCACTGTCTTTATCATGCTTGAGGATGTCAATGATGAAATTCCTCTTTTCACTGAGCGAGAACAAGAAACTGTGCTAGAAGGCGAGCCTATTGGTACCAAAGTGACACAGGTCAATGCAATCGACAAAGATGGCACCTTCCCAAACAATCAGGTAAGAAGTTCTTCTGTTTCTGTTTACATATTAAGATACGAGTTAATTCGTCGATGAGGCAGATCCTCTTTTTTGCTGCTTTGGTTCTTGCGCTGAAAAGTGATATTTATGCTTTGAAAGTCCGTAATTCATTTACTATTTGATAGATATCAGTAGATGATCGTTGATTGATTACACGTTATCATAAGTAAAGAAATATCTCAGTGAGTTAATTATTAAGAAAGGAAAGAAATTTAAAAGACACGCAAAATTTTCATGTCAAAGGGAGCGTGTTTCACAAGATTTCATTGTTTCAACCATTACTAGAAAATTTGCAGGGTGACCACTGGAAATTTGAACAAAATCTGCAAATAAATTGAATCGCAGTGTGGCCTCGAATACATTGCCATGTTCCTGCAAGAATGCAGGTGCCAAGTTAAAAAATACAAAAAATGACAAATGACTAGAGCTAGAGGATCATGTTTCGCTCTTTTTAATGGGATGAATGAGTGAGTGAACGTATGACGTGGCAACTCAACTTTCTTGTCATCTTCAGAGAGCGTTGTCGTGTTTATTTACGTAGATTTCGCTTTTAAACAATGATCACGTGTCAAATCGGGTGTCATGTTACTTCAGCGGGAGCTCTCAGTTGACAGGCGTTTTGCTGTGAACGCAGGGCTTACAGCACCAGACAGCATGCGTTCCTTCTGGTCATGCCAGCTTCAGCGCACTAGTTCTTCCCTGTCACTGATGTACCGCGATCATCAGAGCCTCTTTGTGTAATTGTGAACGATGTGATGGCAGGCACATCCAGGTACATTTAACGCGAAAGAAAATGTTCCTGTTTCCGATTCGGAGTTAATTCTGATAGAGTTAATAGCTGTTAACATAGACGCGGACATCTTATAATTTCGGGGGGTGTTGAGGTTTGCTTTACAAATTCTCCGGGATGATGGGTAATCATAAAGAAGACGAAACGTAACAGATACAGTAACGAATAGAGTAGCATCTTCTCTGCCACTCTTGTGTTCCAAGGACCCTCTTAGTCACTTGGACTCGTGGTGGCTCACCGCTTGCGGGCAGTGGTATAAAGATTACGAACTCCCTGTGGACAGAATTTGTAGCTGTTTCACTGCGATCAATAACCGTTCATCAACACATCTACCCGTCGTAGAACACCTAAGCCCTATGGATTATCGAAATGCAACATTTGAATGTGACGGGTGAAAGGATTAAATGAACTTCAGTCACCTGCCACAGTTCATATGACATTAAAGGCCTGTAACTGGTACGTAACACAGTAATAATCATCAGACGTCATTTGTTTATTTTACCTGATGAGGCCGACGTTATTTGCGTTGAAGGGTCGTTGAATATGAAGGATGGACCGAAAATTTGGTGGCCGTATATTGAGTCTCTGAGGTGTCAGCATTCGCCTTGTACTCCTCCACATTTCACTGCTGATGGCCTAACTTCACGGCGATATTGTGCCGATATACGATAATTATTCGTACTTTTATGTACCATAGGTCCGCAGTGGCCGCGCGGTCGCTGGGACCGTGGGTTCGAATCCCACTCAAGCCACGGATGTTTGTCCGCGTTTGTCTGTGTTGTGCTGTCCTGTGTACAGGTAGAGGCCTCGCGACGGGCCGATCCCTCGTCCAAGGAGTCCTACCAAAAATGTCTATAGATCGAGCCAACGTAAAGTTGGGACCCGCAGTGCTTAGGCACTTGAAGAACGGGTCGTTTCCAGTATCCAAGCAGTTTATGTTCCATAATAATCGTCTGCAGCATTATCAGATTACACAAAACCCTTCATCAGTAATGTACCTTTGCTTTTATATTCAAATTCAATTATATTAGCACGAATTTGCACAACATTTTGGAAGTTTGACGCTTGGGAATATTGTTCAGTAACTTTAAGTAGTGTAATAATTAGGGCTTTGGAAAGTACTGTACTTAAAAATTGTTAGGATACGAAGTGTCAGTAAATAAACCACACCATGGAACTGTCACCGATTAGGTCCTCTGGCATTTTTGTTTTCCGTGGTTTCTGCAAGTGGAGGTTACGTTATTTTTAAGATCGCCCTATAAACGGGCTAACATGGGAATATGAAATGAAGCCTGTGACAGGCAACCGTGTGGTTTGTGTCTGCTAAAACACAAAGCCGCATTTCCCATTTGTCGGTCAACCAACATTCTGTCGGGATACACAGCAGTTTTAGCCAATAAACCGGTAGGGTCATATAGGATCTACCATCAGCAATAAATTCCAGCCTCGTGAATGTTGCTTTAGACATTATGCTAGCTTCCTCTGCCTTCCAACTCTGTGTGTTAGGGATATACATATTTTAGATGTTGCAAATATCATTACGTGATATTTACATGGATTAATGTGTGTTGGGAGGTACGCCCGCATGTTTGTTTTGATGGTTTTGGTGTTAGTGTTGTACAGGAAGTAATTTATATAAAATATTATATTTTATAGAGAGAGAATTTAGGTCTTGTCTGGTTTAGATCTGTTTTTATAGAATTTTATACCGATTAGCGTCGTACTGAAACCGCTCTATCGTTTGTACCTAAATCTATGCCATCTCTTGGCATATCATCTTCAGTTCTTTGAGACACGACGTTTATCTAATTGATTTTTTAAAACTCAGTTTCTGTCTCAAAGAAAACAGCACGGTCCCGTGAGATTTGAGGTTCTTACGACAGTCAAGATGATGTTCTTTTGGGTTGTGACGCCATGTGGATTCGTAGGTAGATACCGAAACGTCGTCTTCATCGCCGGCAGAAGATATCACATAGCGAACCTGTGTGGGGAGGCAACACCACACAGGACTTACTGCCCTGAAGATGGAGACAGTATGCTTCTCCGTAACGTTCCTAACGCCCTGAAATAAGGGGACGGAACAGGAAGGAGAAGGTGGAATTGTCGGAGAAGTCCCACATTTTCCCAGAGTACAAATGTCGAAGTTGCTTGTCTGTGTCTCAGTCTTCTTTTCAGATTTTTCGATTGAAATTGTGCATTTATTGCTAGTGTTCACGATGCGTTCTACATTCCCTGCCCATGTAATTTGATTTAATCGATCCACTTATGTTTCATGTGGAGTGCAAAGTACGAAGTTCCTTGTAAAGTAAAGTTTGTCCCACTATACGCCATGTAGGCGTTTGGGGTGAGTGGAGGTATAGCTCCTCTCTTCCTTGACCTCGGCACTAGATGGGGGTGAGTGGTCAGCATCACGCCCCGGCCGGCTTTACCCCCGGGAAAGGACCCCGGTACCCATTGTAGAGGAGGCTGGGTGGGCCCCAGAGCCGGTCTGGACGCAGAGGCTAGAGGAAAAATCCTATGCCCCCGTCGGGGATCGAACCCCGGTCGTCCAGCCCGTCGCTAGTCACTATACTGACTGAACTATCCCGGCTCATAGAAGCTCCTTGTAAAATTTTGAAATACGCCCAGTTAGGCGGCTCATATTCATATGGATCAGGGGTCGACAACTTGTGACCCAGGGGCAGCAGGTGACCTCATTATTTTTTTGTTTGGCCTGTCACGTGCGTTGGGAAAATGTTTTGCGGCGGAGGGTCTTTTATATAAGATGTATACACGTCAGAATTGTGTATACATCATTTGGGACATTCTATATGCACACATTTTAAAAGCATACAAATTTGAAGCAATTGATCTTGTAAAATATTTAAAACTTTTTTACTTTTCGAGACCAGTCTTGGTGTGATGGTATTTTATCTGTGGTGTGTCTTTGTCATGTAGTTTTACGAGCACATGGACAATGGTAAACAGTGTGTATATGAACGTGACAGGTGAAACAAATATCAAGTTTCTGAAGAGGAACACGCCGGGATGCTGCATTGTAGAACCGAATATGAGTAAAGTTTTTGATCCGCTGTACTTGTGCGGCCAACTCACGATCATGTAACTCTTTGGAATTGTTCGCCTGTGCCACGCATGCACTTTGCAGTGAAGTGAGACTGACCGTCATGTGTGTTCTGTGTCGGTTCACGCTCAAAACAGTTTTCCTCGCATCCCCCTCCCCCCTCCCCGCCTGTCGCCGTATTTTATTGTCTGTGACGTGTATCACATAACGATTGTGACATGGCGACTGTGAATCCAAACCTCTAGGGTTATCAGGAACTGGATATTTGTCACTCGATCCGAAATCCATATCAACGTCAGATCTGTCTGATATTCTACAAACATTTATGTTCTTTGCGTGCGATGGTGAACAACGCTCGAACAGTTTTATACTTCGCTTACAAAGTAAACACGAAATTTGAGTGACAATTCTTGACGCTTACATTCCTTTTATTATTTCATGTGTCACTAGATGCAAATTATTAAAGAGTTTTGATTCTTTTGTCCTACAGAAATTAAATAATGTACTTGTTTTAGTCTTATCTGAGCGATCAGCGTTCACTTGACACAAACTTCCTAAATGTGTCACACTTTTCTGCATTTGTAGTGGGCGTATTCCGTATGTAGAGCCGCGTGATGTGTGAAGTCATTCCATGACCTTGAAGCGTGTAATTTTGTGACTGCTTCTGATTTAGTGAGACAGCTGCAGCGAACAAGGTAGCTACTAGCAACAACTTTGGACGTGGGTTAGGGAGATTGTGGTTTCGAATGTCTTGAAGGGCATAAGACAATTCAAATTAAGTCTAACATACGCCTTCTTGCTAAAGACCAAATGTGTTAAGACATGCCCTTCGCTTTTACCTTTTATCAGTGTATATTCGAAGTGTATGTGACTGATGTGGGTATGAGGGCGTTTGTTAATGCAGCACTGAGGCGTTTGAACATCGAGTTGCAGGGAAATTATTAGAGTAAACGATTAAGCTGATGATAATAGTGAGTTACCTGTGCAGTAGGCCTAATCATTTGTCTCCAGACAGATTGTTTATGGCAGTTTCTATTGTGTTAGAAATGTTTGAGGAACAGAAGTTTAGTTTCACTGGTGGAATGATCCAACATGTGTTTACTCTGGTTATTGATTATGGCGTGTGTCTAATTATTGTAATGGGGTTTTGTGCCCATAGGTATACTACTATGTAGTAGACTCACCCCGTAACGAGGGAAAAGACTTCTTTGAGATCAATTTGCAGTCAGGCGAAGTGTTCACAAAGATTGTGTTCGATCGTGAGAAGCAAGGCGCCTATGCATTGGAGGTGGAGGCACGTGACGGAGCACCATCTGCAAGGCCGAACAGCGGTGGACAACCCAACTCAGGTGAGTAAGCTGTTGATTTCAGTACAGGCACTTTGGAGTGGCACATTAGTGCGCGTTACCCACCATTTATGTATCGTATTTAGTACTCAAGATTCCTGATGTCATCACCATTTTGATGAAGGATTTTAATTACATGAAGACGTAACTTCATACAGAAACAGGCAGTGCAGATTTTCCTGTTGTGAGTTTCCTGCGTTAGAGGACATATTCCGTTGTAAATGACGCCATCTTTCCTGTATCCTCGTAGTTTACAAGTAATACAGTACGTCTGTGTAATTTCGTTCCTGTGTCTGTGGTTCAGTGGTAAATGGTTTACGTGTCGACACTCCAGCTTCATTTGTTACTGTATCATCTGATAGTTCAGACTAGTTAGAGGCATGAAGTGTTCAGTTTCTTGGGGTTAGATAATATAAATTACTAGCGGAACCCGTGCACGTGATCTGTGCTTGATTCTGACGAGGAATATGGTGGAGCCAGGGGTGTCCAGAGCAACGCTCAGGATATGCACTTACGTTTTGTTGATTGCTGTATGTGTGTGTCTTTTGCTTCGTGTTCAGAGGACTGGCAGTTTCGTAATTGAAAGCAAATCGTACTCTGTAGAAACGTTGCCGGTCGTAATTGCCTGTGGTTTTTCCATCTACATTGTATGTTCACTGCCTACAAGGCCGATTTGTTTTACGGTCCATATGTTCAGGTTGGTAATGTAGATTTTGCTAATGACAGAAACTCAGCTGTTGCCTAGGAACTGTTAATCATTCTGGCAAAATTAAAATATAATAGCGTAGGTTTACAAATGTCTGTATAATGAAAAACCGCCATCACAGAAACCTGAGTTTTGCTTTGTTCGGATGTACGCTGCAACAACCAGGAAACTCTCGCGTTACAAACTTATTATTGCAGTCTCTTGTTTCAAGAGTCTCCAATTGAGATGTAGTTCACCTACCAGATGGCTCTGGAGTAGGGTTTCTCATAATCGAATTCAGACAAAAGTCAATGTAATTCAGCTCGCATTTCTCTTAACGAAGAGATGGAGTGTAACCTATCAAAGTTGTTGTCAAGTCATTACAGCGATGCTGAATACGTGATCTTCTGTTACTTCATCTCACAGGATTATTTTCTAAACTGATGCACTGCGTCGTGGTGATTGTCGCTCGTGTTTCATATTCAGGAAATAAGCCGATTAAATTCGTTTTACTGAGTAGGTTAGTGTTACGTTAACGCTCTGCATTCGTATTCATGAGGTGTCTGATTCGAATCTTAGCAAGGCTATCCGCTATTCCGACAGGTGTTTAGGGAATTTCGTCAGTCGTCTGCCATGTTTGCAACCGGTTTCATCCCGAATTCAAGTGAGACATGTTTTCGTTGTGCCAACCGTCTCACTGTCGTGGACACAAAGATAAACTGTCTTAGTGAGAAGCAATTCCGTTTTGTTCTGTTCTGTTTGGTATACGAGGTCTGACAATTAAAAAAACTTTCAGCACTGTCATCACATTGCTTTGAATGTTTTAAAGTGGGCGAGAATAGAATTTTTAATGGGATATTTAGTTTCGGGAAATTTGTAAAGGCTCATGGGAAAAAATCAGGCATGCCCAGAAGCTGTTTATTTGCCGAAAACCGCGTGAGAGAATAAGCGTTTATCGTTACACAAAATGAGCTTTGTCGGCCAAGGATTTCGCTTCTTTTTATGTTCCGTCGTGAAGCTTTTAAAACTGACGGTAGTTAAAGTTTCCTGAAATTCATTAAACGTGTTCTGTGATTGTAGTCGTTTGAAGAGAAACAAATTGTTTTGAATTTAGTAAAGAATTAATAATAAATGAAACTGTAGCGTTCTATGCCGTTGGCTATTTCTGTTTTAAAACTTAGTACTCGTGCAAACGTTGAGGTAGAACCATTTAATATATACGCGAACGTGTGAACAGTGGTTGTATTTGTTAACTCCCTTGTTGTAAAAACTGGAAAACTGTAATATATATCTCCCAAAGCTTACATTTTTTTAAAGAATTGTGAACAGTCGTATTGAATTTAGCCCTTTAGGGACCTGAATATGGAGATTTCCTGCAGGTTGCCTACCCCGTAGGAGAACGTGACAAACAGATTCAGACATGGACACAGAACCGCTCACCCTCGAACGTGAAGAACACCTCGTAATAATAGTGATCTAATAATCGTAATACAATGATTGTAAGAGGATGGAGAAAAATTCATATCCACGGAGGATTTTCGTAATGTACTCTTCACCAAACGCTAGAAGAGAGGTTAGATGATCTGGATGTGTAGAATGCATGGGCATATAAAAAAAGATACACAATATATTTACGTGAGAATCTAAAAGGAAAAGGCCACATGGAAAGTCTAAACGTGGATGGGATGATACTATTAAAACAGATATTAAAAAATATATGGTGCGAGGATGTGGATCGGATTTGATTGGTTCAGGGCTCGTTCCATTGGCGGAATCTTGTGAACACGAACCAGCTGAGTGGCTATCAGATTCTCAAGAAGGACTCTGTTCTGTTGCGTTTGGTTATGATTCATAGGTTGCTCACGAATATCCTTATGGGCTGTTTGAGTACATACGTACGTATGGGGGCCCTGTGTATCCGTGAGCGTGTTTGGATTACGTATTTGCGATGGAATACGGAACATGAACAAAGGCTGTGCTTTGAACTGGGTCCAAAGGCCGCCAGTTTGCTGAAGTCCGTTGCTATAATCTATACCCACGTAAGTTTTAGTTGCCTTGGTTACTGGGCGAATTAAATATATGTAATTCTCATGTATGAGTAAATACAACTTGCTTCCTTTTTCGATAAACATATTTCGCGTAAGATTTCGAAGCAACGCATAGTGGGGGAAGATTCAAGGATAATTCGATGGACGAGGAATGTAGCATGTATGGGTCGGCTGAAGAGTCTACACGGCGCTAAAACCCAAAATAACATCATAATCATCATCAAAGCCGTGAAAATCATAAGTTTAACTTTATCGTTCTTCATTAAATTTTATAATGGAAAGTTTTACTGAAATTTTTGAACTCGTTTCAAGTTTGGTTAAAATCGGGCGTAATAGCGGTCATCGTACATGCGTTTTTGCTACTCGCGCAATACGTGGGGATCCCCCGTGGTGACATCATCGCCAAGACACTCCACTCAGAGGTCGTTGACTGTAGGGATTCTACCGTCACTGACGTATTTCATAAATGTTATGGATCAAATTCTGCTAAAGTCGCCATAATCGTTACGCTGCGTGTGCGTTTTCTAACCTGTTGCAATTTTATGCAGCAGAATAACGATTTGCTGGTCTAATAGACGAGTGTTTCGCCCGTCAGAGCCTCTCGGCTAGTTACTAGGTTTCGCTTTCATGTGAACAACCTTGTAATTTCCATGGACCAGAGCTCTGTGAGAGTTACGGAAACCTGCTACATGCAAATGTGGGACGTTTCATATTGTTTACGTGCACCATATTTTCCAGTGCTGCCAACATGAGTTTCAAAGTAAATTGAAATTGCCTTGTTTTCTCACTTTGCTTTGTAGGCCTTGTAGCAGCGGTAGATTGCAATCTTGTGTGTGGTTATTACTGCAGAGTTTCAGCTACATGTTCTAATTAACGTTTTGCCTGCTACAGTTTCTAATATAAACAGAATGTTATTTCTCTTTTTCAAACACACAAACACTTTTTTTTCACTGCTCAGTGGTTGTGTTTAGTTCTGCATGTAGAGCGTCTGTTACCTAGCGGAGTGGTATTCAACCTGGGGTACGCGAAGACATATTAGGGGGTACGTGAAATTTAAAAAATATATATTATTTTATGATAAACACTGAATAATCAATAATTTAATTTATTTAATTTATTTTAGATGTAGATTACATACTATGTATAACTTGAATTATACACCAACAACTTTGGGGATACAAAGTTGAAGAAAAATTATATCTGGGGGTACGCGAACAAAAAAAGGTTGAACACCACTGACCTATCATAACCCGCCTTCGTAATATTGAGCTTGCACCCGATGGAACATTGGGTAGTGTCATTTCATTTTTCCTTACGATGCTGCCTAGCGGTAACTATATGTACCACTTACATAAACAAACAGAAGCCCTGCATTTTGTGTATGTGGGTTTCGTATGATTTTCGCTGCGAACATGGCTTTATTTTTCAACATCATTGATTAGACGATTTTTGTGTTTTCTTCGCGGTAAGGACTGAATTCTTAAATAATATTTAGACTGACTTCGGCTTCAAAAGGGTAGGAGCATGCCTGAGGATGTCAAGATGTTGCCACTGCCTTTGCGATAAGCGATTACATCGTGTATTCTCGTTTTCATTTTTGATGTCAGTACAGAGGCTGCGTTAACTTTCGTTGAGTTAAACTTGAGTAACAGATGACGAGGAAACGCCTATTATTCGAACTAAAAATTTGGCTTTACAAATTTGTTTTTATAATTACCTTTTTAATGTATACAAATACGTAACAGCCTAACTGTAGCTCTGTGGTACCCGACTGGAGTCGTGTGTATGTGTGATCATGAGATCGAATCCTGGTTTGTTTGGGTGGGGGGTTGGAGGATTTTCTGCACGTACCATGTTGGTTTAACGACGATTTAGTTGACCTTCAGAGTAGCAGAGACGTTTCTGTGTCGCGAAGAGGTGGTGGCTCACAAAACATCTTTGTCTTACGTCTTTGAGCATCGTCATGATTAAGATATTGCTGGCGTGCACGCTGGAGAAGAAATGAGTCACTTCCGCCGGCGACTGTTGGAAATTTATGCAATTCGAAATGAAACAAAGTTAAAATTCATTCATGCAGTGATGAATGAAAGCACCCGGCGAATTGTATTTGGTTCTGATATTTCCTCGACATTTCGATGTTCAGAGTACGCCAGTGTCGCTTTAACAAAGACCCTCATTTTCTTTTATTGTCACGATGGGGCGACTGTGTCTCTGGAGCTGTGGCCGCTAACGGCCGCATTGTCCATCCGCCAGATGATACGCGATCGAAT